AAAATCTTATCAATACCCATCCCTACTAGTAAGTGCTTATCATCACCTCATCATCATTACCTTTATTTATAAAGCACTTTTAAACAACCACAGCTGACACAAAGTGCTGTACAGTGAGAGCAATGACTGACTGACCCCCACATAGAGTGAGTTACAGTCGTCCAGGCAGGAAGAAATAAAAGCATGTATCACCGTTTCAAAGTGCTGCCTCGAAAGAAAGGATTTTACTCCTGCCATTTGCCTTAAATGATAAAAACTGGACTTTACCACTGCTCTGATTTGGTTGTCCAATTTAAAATCACTGTCCAACTTAAAACCAAGGTCGATAACAACAGGTTTAAAATAGACTTCCAGGGGTCCCAAATCAACAGAGGAGGACTCGCAGGAACCACTGGGTCCAAACACCAACACTTCTGTTTTCTTTTCATTTAAATTCATCCTTTATAAAGCATTAGTCCTTCTCAGTGTATCATTTATAAACAGATATAAATGTTTTTTCTTGATTAATAAGCTCATATATAACATGTTCATGTTCAAGTAAATAATTAACAGAGGCACATTTATATATATACAATGATTAATGACATGAGCTCATTGTTGTTCAGTGTGTTAATAGATATTTTATAAATATTATCTATAAAAAAATATGTAGTTGTTAGGTTAGTATTTTGTGTGACCTCGTGTAAAGTGAGGACTATTTTTGGCTTATTTTTAAATGAAAATGAAAGTACCTCAAGATTCAAACAAGTCTCAGCTGTCTTCACAACACAAAATGACACAGACAAAGCTCAAAGAGATACAAATTATACAAATATATATTGCCAGATGCAAACGTGACCCACCTGAGGTTTGCAGAATACTGAAATGTAGAAAGGACCAGAGTCTGAATCAGTTTGTAAGAGGTGTTTAAGAGAGAAAGCTACACTGAGCTGGAGCCGCAGCAGTGAAACTTAAATATACTACAACTTGTTCATCCATCCATCCATCCATCGTCATCCGCTTTGTCCGGTCGGGTCGCGGGGGCAGCAGCCTAAGCAAAGAGGCCCAGACCTCCCTCTCCCCAGCCACCTCCTCCAGCTTGTCCGGGGGAATACCAAGGCGTTCCCAGGCCAGCCGAGAGATATAATCTCTCCAGCGTGTCCTGGGTCTGCCCCGGGGCCTCCTCCCGGTGGGACATGCCTGGAACACCTCACCCAGGAGGCGCCCAGGGGGCATCCTTGTCAGATGCCCGAACCACCTCAGCTGGCTCCTTTCGATGTGGAGCAGCAGCTGCTCTACTCTGAGCCCCTCCCGGATGGCCGAACTTCTCACCCTATCTCTAAGGGAGAGGCCAGCCACCCTTCGGAGGAAGCTCATTTCTGCCGCTTGTATCCGCGATCTCGTTCTTTCGGTCACTACCCACAGCTCGTGGCCATAGGTGAGGGTAGGGACGTAGATCGACCGGTAAATTGAGAGCTTCGCTTTTACACTCAGCTCCCTCTTCACCACGACGGACCGGTGCAACGTCCGCATTACTGCAGCTGCAGCCCCAATCCGTCTGTCGATCTCCGGCTCCCTTCTCCCATCACTCGCGAACAAGACCCCGAGATACTTGAACTCCTCCACTTGGGGCAGGAACTCATCCCCGACCCGGAGTGGGCACTCCACCCTTTTCCGGCTGAGAACCATGGCCTCAGATTTGGAGGTGCTGATCCTCATTCCCGCTGCTTCACACTCGGCTGCGAACCGCTCCAGTGCGAGCTGGAGGCCTTTACCCGATGGAGCCAACAGAACCACATCATCTGCAAAAATCAGAGATGAGATTCTGAGGCCACCAAAGCGAAAGCCCTCCGCCACTTGGCTGCGCCTAGAAATCCTGTCCATAAAAATTATGAACAGAACCGGAGACAAAGGGCAGCCCTGGCGAAGCCCATCACCCACCGGGAACGAGTCCGACTTATTGCCGGCAATGCGAACCAAGCTCTTGCAACGGTTGTATAGGGATCGAATGGCCCGTAGCAATGGGCCAGACACCCCATATTCCCGCAACACCTCCCACAGGACACCCCGAGGGACACGGTCGAATGCCTTCTCCAAGTCCACAAAACACATGTAGACTGGTTGGGCAAACAACTTGTTCATTTAAGCTAAAATAGGAATAAGGTTATTACAAATCAGTAGTGAAAATTTGACAGAGTTTCACAAACAGGTTTGTGAAATATATATATATATATATATATTGTCCATAGTGCTGCATTAACATCACCTGTCTGGTGTGTTCTTTGGACTTCATGGTGTTGTTGCTCCCAATATTCTCTTAGACAACCTCTGAGGCGTCACAGAGCAGCTGTATTTGTACTGACATTAGATTACACACAGGTGCACTCTGTTTAGTCATTAGCACTCATCAGGCAACGTCTATGTGCAACTGACTGCACTCAGACCAAAGGGGGCTGAATAATTACACACATCCCACTTTGCAGTTATTTATTTGTAAAAAATGTTTGGAGTCATGTCTGATTTTCGTTCCACTTCTCACGTGTGCACCACTTTGTGTTGGTCTTTCATGTGGAATTCCAATAAAATGGATTCATGTTTGTGGCTGTAATGTGACAAAATGTGGGAAAGTTCAAGGGGGCAAAATACTTTTGCAAGTCACTGTAAATATCATTTTTAACCTGAGTAGCGAAAGACCAGGGGGGCTTTTAAAACGATGTGCAGGGAGTTCGCTGTTCTCACCCCAGCTAGCTATCGAGCTGGTGGGTAACAGACGTCTCCGAAAATGTGGGAGCACTTTTGCAAATATGTGATATCTTGATAAACCGAGCAGATATTTGAAGTTTACACGGCTGCTTTCTCACCTGAAAATATCTTTAAAGTTTATTTTGTGACCCAGAAAGATTAATAACAGTAATATTAAAACTTAGTAGTGGCCTCCATTGTTGGAAACCGGAATTGGCTGGGCCACGCTATGAATTCTGGGATATGGTGGGACACGAAGGACACACCTGACCCATCCTTCAAATTCGGGGAATAGGAGGGCACATTATTCGGCTGCATTCAGAGGAGTCTACGAATTTTGGACAGCCTTCGTCGTGTCGCTGTGACATGCGGCCTCAGGAGGATGCGGCCCATGAATTTGGACACCCACTATGAAAGGAGTATTTATAAAACTCAAAAGCACTGAGGTCATATCTTAGTCATTCTATATATATATATTTGCATTTAAATACTTTCATTATTTACTTAGACTTTATAAATGATGGCATTAACATGTTATATGTTAATGCCATCATCGCTTACTTTATTTGGTAAAGTAAGAGATCCAATTTGGATCGGTTAGTTACTTTTTATTATCTATTAAATAAATAAGCAATATAATCTGTCAATAACCACTGTAACCATAACCATGCTATAGGGATGACATCATTCTGATGAAATAATGAAAATCCTTCACTGTCAAGCTGTTGTAGGCAAACAAAAGATTCCTTGCAGGTGTAATACAAGGAGATAAAGCTTCTGCTTTTCAGAATCATTTTATTTTAAAGTCAGTGAAGTAGATATTTTGTGTATCAAGAAAAATACCTACTTTGCATAATGGTTCAACCATTCTGTATTTAGGTTTTAGTAGATGATAAGAATTCTATAATCGTTTCTATAATCCTCGGTTATAGAAAAGAAGGCTTTCCTGGTATGGTTTAGTTAAGGTTTAATTATTTGTTACTTCAGGAAATCTTAAAGTTGATCCTGATTTTTCATTTTCATCTGTAAAGCTCATCAGACAAAACATACCAGCACTGATATCCGTATCAGTCATGTTGTCAAACTAACCTATGCAGTCACAACATGTGTTTCCTTCACCACATATTCACTTGCCCTGTTTAGCCGTCTGTTCATAAAGAGCAACAATTTGTGGACACAGTCCATGTTGACCCCCTCGCACTTATGGGATGCTTGGTCCACCTGGACAGACACCAGGACATCCAGACATGTCAGTGGCAATGCTGACAGGACATTCACCGTGTGCCTGTGGACAGAAGTCATAACACTTTTTAGATCAACTGTAAGAATGTCATCTAGGTTATCAATAATCACTCCAGTATCTATTATTTTAGCCAAAACCGTCTAAAGCTTCAGAAATACTAGTCTGACCCTTGGAGTTCTTCTAATGTGTCTTCTCCTTCACATGACAGGAGCAGGCAATGGCGCAGCACAGCCACTAGGTGTCGATACAGGGCAGCATCTTCCTAAAACAGTTAAACATGTATAAGATGCAAAGTTTATAACAACTGGGCATTGGTCACACCTCCTCCTCTCTGAACCTGAAGCATGTGCATCATTTTTTCTATGTGCTAATCTAATGTTTTTTAATTGGAAAAAAATGTTTCCTGCAATGAATTTGTTAATATACTTTTATTATATCTTCCTTTTCCACTGGATTTACAGATAATATAGGACTGAAAATATTTATTTTGTTTTGTTTTTAGCAGGATTTATGTTTTTTCTGATTTCCCCTTCTAATGACTAAACCAGGGGTAACAGACCTAGAGCAGCAAGGCTTACTGCTAAATGGCACAGATGTCAAAATGCCCAAAGTTACAGTGAGATCGTTTGGGGAACATTCTCAAATTTACTTTCACATTTGCTCTTAATATTTATATACTTTATTTATTTCAGACAGGTTTAGTCTATGTGACAAACAAGAAGAAAAATGTATATTGAATTTGTAAAGGCCAACAGTTTCAAAGGGAACCATAGAGGCAGAGTAGCAACACCTTTGTATTTTCTGTTTGTCAGATATAGACGGCTTAAACAGAGTTTACTTGCCATAGTTAACACACTGTATGCTTTTGTTGCCTCTGCAAGAACTTTGAATAAACAACCCTGATAATGTGAAAGTGGCATCATCAGGCTTCAGCGTAGGAAAAGAAATTTCTATCTAAAGCCTGTTATAAGTTTTTTCGATGGCTGAAGCACAAATCACACAGCAGAAACGTAATTCTCACCACTCTAAATGCAGTTCTCAAATCAGTAACACATTTCCACACACGCTTCACTACCAAAGACATTTTTACTGTGTTGATGCACCTCTCACTTAAATCTCACAACACATTAAAACTGCAGTGTGAGATATGTAACTGAAGCCATACCGGCTTAACAAGGTCGGCGTCAGGTGTTGAAGGACCAGAACACTCTGACTATATTCTCAGATTGTGCATATTTCTCTGTTTCCTGATCCATATAGTTTCACAAGCATCAATTTTGTAAAGTTTTAAATAAATCCTTCACATTTCTTTTTTTCTGAACAATTTTTAACCCACATTAGCACTATTTTCAAAGTCAGTGAGGCTTTAATAAAAGGAAAAAGCAACTCAGTATCAACGTCCTGAAATGGTGGTAAAAGGTTTTACACAAGGTTGAAATGATTGACTGACTTTACACATTTTGACATATGTGAAAAAGATCTTGATTTTTTTGGTTGTCTTTGCACAGATGAGTCTGCATTAGGAAAAATGCCTGAACTGTTGTAAAATTTGTATAAAGAGTGGTGAGAATTACATTCCTGCTGAGGACAAATCGATCAAGAACAACTGCAAAGAGTAGATGTGTAATACTCTGGAAATATATATAAATAAGCTCAATGAAAGATTACTGAATACATTACAGGAAGGCAGAGTTGAGGCAGAGTTGACAGACTGAGGAACAAGGCTGGAGATTTGGGGCGTGTCCTGACTGGGCTCAACTTATGTTGAACTGCTGATCAGTTAACTATGATTCAGTTGCAGCCTGTTGCCTTGGTCTACCTCCCTGACCAAACTGAAGCTCTGCTACTGGACGTTCAAAGCTTATTTATCAGTGACGGCAAAAGAAAAGGATACAACGCGTGCCCCTGCCCAACTTATTTTTTTGGCATGGCTTTCAATTAAAGCTTTGAGTGATTTGCAAATCAACTAACAGCAACGTAAATGGCAGCAATAATAATGTATTACACATTTTTTAAAATCCCATTAAGAGACAAAACCTAGACATTGGTCACCTCTGAAAAAAAATATAGGATTATCTTAAAGTGGACACGGTATTGTAAACAAAATAATTTAGTGATAATACCTGAACAAACATTCAGATGTTAGCAATATGATGTTAGTTTCTTTGATTTAGTTATTAAGCTCCAGCTAAATTGGAGGAATCCCCCAGCTAATCACCTCATCAGGCTCCTGCCTGTGGAACATGTGAGTGATGTTGAAGAGTGTCTTGAGGATCTCAATGACCTTCTGGGACACCTCCATGGAAATGGGAGGTTGTTTACTGTCGGTAAGCACCTCATATTCCACACCCCAGCTCACAGCCAGGCACTGCTCCAAGGCTTTGGTCAGCACTGACACTCCCCGCTCCTGACAAGAACAAACAAACCACTGAGCTTTAAGATCAGATGTGAAGCACGGTTCTTTGACACTCTTGATTTCAGGAGACCAGAAAACATGCATGTTTGTCCTGATCAGCATATAAGGCCTATAAGGGCTTGGAGGTGGTGTGACTGTCTGTTTGTCTAATAGGCTTTGTAGGTTTAGTTATGATGAAGAAATACTTAATCAAATCTTAATTTTATTATTCCTAAGATTTTAATGTGACAACAATCTACAGTCAGCTGACATCCACTGCTCTGTCACTCGATTGTGAAATGATTTCTAAATAAAATGCTAAAGTTTTGGTCCACTTTCAGTATAACTGGAATATTAAATGGCTCCTGTAAATAACAGTATCATATCTAACAATGTCATAGGACATTTTGAGAGACTTCATGTGTTTGAAGCAATCATGGTCACTTTAGATTGTCCAACATGAAAAGCCTGTCACAGATGTCCTTTGTCAACTCATAGCTTGTTGCTCATAAATGAATACCATACACACCCAGGATAAAGAAAGTGTGACTGCATTTAGTTTCTCAAGATCACCTTTTTTATTGCTAGAAAGCAATGATACCATGTAATTCCATCCTTGATAGGTTAGAAATCATTTACCTGTTGCAGCTGCAGCCTGAGTTCAGGTCTCAGGGCTGTGAGTAAGAAGAGTAGCCTCAGCTTGTAAAAGTGGCAGCTGAGTGGCACTTTACTCCAGATCTCCTCCTTCAGACTCTCCCACAAACCTTGCAATAGCCTTTCATGAATATAGGAATCACATTTTCAGGCAAGCAGTTGAGCTGATTAGCGTCACATCCTTGTATATAAAGAATAAACAGTATTTGAATATAACTAGAAAAAATAGTTGCAAAGATTGTAAATGATTTAGGAGAAAATAAGTGACAGCCAAGAATGGTTTTCATATGAGTATTTTGACATTGCATCCTGTAAGATGTCTCAAATGTATCATTCTGATGTTTTTGTTTGCCTTCATTTGACATTTTTATTGAGACTTTATTGCCAATCGTTTTCTTAGCAGAGAATGAAACTTGTAGCTTGGAAGGCAACTTTACGACCAAGTCGACACATTTTTAAAAATGTCACCTTAGTGCACTGGCTCTCTCCTGTGCCCGGGGGCTGTTGTAGATGACATTACACAAGACTTTCAAGGCTTCCTTCCTGCACACCTCTCCATCCTCCTCTTGTTCCTCACTGTTATCTTGTTGGGTGTCTTTTTTGCCACGGGAGAGCGCCACATGTGCTCCATCATGTTTCTGCTGATAGCAGTGATTCACTGAACCACGTGTGGCTGGAGAGACAGCTCCTTCAGCAAGAACAGAAAATGAAACCACAGAGCACCCAGACGGGGCAGTGCCGGCTTCTGCACCCTGCTCACAACTACTCACAGCTCTAATATGGGTTGTGCTGCATGATCTGCCCACGTCACCTTCAGCTTCCTGATTTTCTTGCTGTAGGCATGTCTGTGGTATGGCGATGCCTCCCATGTGTGCTAATGTGAGAAGGGCACTATCAGTGACCATGTGCCCCAGGGCCCTACGGTCACGGGACAGGATACGCAGTGTATGCAGGCAAACCCGTAAAACCGCCGGCTGTAGCTGACTACCAATGAAGCACAACAGGGCTGCAGACAGATCCTGAAAAAGTAGTCGGGGGGGAGATGTTACAGTGAAGAAGGGTTAGAATGACGAACTGCAAGGAGAAAAAACAAAGAATGCAAAATGTGCAAATACAGGGATGAGTGTGGCAGACTTGTGTTAGCATACACAGGGACATGTACACAGGGGTATATAATCACTGGCCTACCTGCCGGAGCAGAAGCTCTGCATTCTCATCATCTGAGTCAATGTCAGAGTCGGAAGCAGGAGCACAGTCCCTGAATTTTTTCTTCCTGAACTAATTACCCAAGAGAGAGAGAGAAATAGCCCGAATCACTGCAAAGTCTGTTTAATGCAACACAAGAAGCTCAGCATGTTTATAGTTTGAACATTCATTCAGGCTTCATCTGAGATTCACTGCTGAGGGAGCAGTGCTGACTGAGTGATGATTATGACATGGCTGCATGATAATAAAGACAAGTACACATGACCACGTTTTTAGTCATGCTGTATTTGGATATTTACATCCTCTTCACTTTATATCCTGCAGCACTTGCACTACAGTACTACACTAAAGTTATAATACCAAAAAGCACTGAAGTACTTAAGACAAATACCACATCCTTTTATTGTGGTAGTTGTATGTAAGTTTAGTGGTTTCACTGAAAACTACAAGATCATTTAAGCAAATATCTCGATGACATTAATTCGCAGCGTACGGAGAGTGTAGAGAAAAAAGAATAGTTTGTGTAGCTCTAGCATGTCTGTACAGTGAAGGTCAGCGCTGCTAATGCTTAGTCATGAGGTGTTCAAGCAGCTTTGAGAACATGCTGCTCTAAATATAATTAGCAATCGCTTTTGGAACTCACATGCACACACTGGTATTATTTTGGATTACTGTTATACTGAGTCAGCACTCGCTCACTCACTCTCTCTGTCTCTCTATCTAATTATAATTAACTTTAAAGGTGCTTTATTCGCATGGGAGTTCCTAAAAACAATATTGTCAAAACGTCAAAATATAATTTTTTTAATAAATGTTAAAGGTATGTTGATATATACTTGTGTGGTAGTAGTATACTAGTGATGTATAATACAGTGCTGTTCTAAGCTTGATCGGGTGTGTTTGAAAGGAGCCAGTTAGTGTCGGCACCAGCTGATATACAGGACGCCTTTGGGGGAAAGCAAGGAGGCTGGATTTAAGGTGATTTTAAAAATGAAGTGCTTTCTTTTGAACTATCATTATCAGTGGGTATATGCCTGGTTGGTGGTTTGCACTGTGCATACTGCATGTAGAGGGAACCCCATGATCGGCTACCATACAGTGCAATGGCCAATATATTTTAATTGGAATTTGGAAGTTTTAAAATTTCTCCCTAATACTATTTGTTGCATTATTTTTATTTTTTGTCTTGATGGTGATACGAAGGTAGATACAGTCCACACTGTGTTTAGTGATTTGATTACTTAGAGTGAACTGGACTTTGTTTTCTTGCCATCAGGAGATGGCAGCATTTTCCTACCACATCTAGTCAGAAATATTGCAACCCTTCAGAAACTCCTTGTATCTAGATAAAGAAATCAGTTTGTTTGCGTCCAGTTTTAAGATCACACCAACATGCATATCCTATCAATTTTCTATCTAGTGTACATGTTTGCTAATTAAAAAAAATCAATGCCCCAAACCTCTTCCAGTTGTTGCTGCTGCAGCCAGATAGTCCATGAACAGTGACAGAAATACATGTAAAAAGTAGAATAGATATTTAAGCATTAGAAACAGATGAAGACTGAGGTGGAGGAGGACAGCAGAATCCGCACAGATGAGCTGGAAAGAAATTCATTTGAGATGGGACTGTTAATCATTCAGGTTCAAATTTTACCTTTATTAACTGCAGTTCATAAAAATTGAGGGCTGCTAAAACGTGAGGATGAAAAACAAAATGAAAATAATAAAGAGGCACTTTGTCAAAGGGTACGCAACAGACCAGAATTCCCAGCAGTTAATAGTCTGTTTTTTTCCCTTTTCTTGTTTTTTAGTTTGGCAGCAGGGTGGGTTGGGATAATCACTGAGCACTTGGAAAATCATGTGCTATGAAGATAGGAAAACTTTTCTAAAAACAAATAGCAAAGAATCAGAATACTCCAGTGACTGCTATAAGCATGCTTTATAATATACATTTAGAGATCACGCTAAGAGTCAAAACACAACTGACAGGGTGCTGACAAGAGCATGGCTGAAGGCTATGGCAAAGGAAATATAGACGAAAAGAATGAAACTACTGGAGAGAAACACACAGAGCTGACCTTTTGCCTCTCCTGTGCCTCAGTGTTGAAAAAGAAGCACTCTGCATACTGTGGAGAAATGAAAGAACACAAGCAGTTAGGAAAACGGAGAAAAGCCAGATCACAGATTTGCACTGACAAAGTGTCCTAGAATATAGGAACATCAGTCAAACTGCGATTTGATAATGGCAGTGCCAATTTAATTTCAGAAAAACAATATTTTAAGGATACTCGTTTTTCATATCATTTCTTATTCATTCATATTCATTTTTTTCTTTCTTTTTTCAGAGAATAGCAGGTTCACAACATAGATATATATATAGATAATGCATAGTTTTAATAATGACATACACTCTTAAAAGAGCAACTGGAAAAACTGTTTTTTGTCAAAGGTTGAATGATTGAACCAGAATTCCTTCAGCAATGCAGCATCATACAGGTGGATCCTGCTGGAGGCAGAGCAAAAATAGGGACTAAGGTGTTGGCTCTGGCTCAAAGACCGGAGCTGGCGAGGCCACTCAGACCAACACGGGCACCATGACAGGAACTAGAGGGGTCAGCTCTGGTTCTGGACTAGCCAGGCCAAGAAAACTAGCTGCTGTGACAATCAACACTGACTCAGTCTCTGGGAAAACCGCTAGAAGCCACCAGATTCTAAATTTGTGCAACGTCCAATTTATAATGCTAATTAATTGTGTCTAATATATTAATGCAAAGTCACTTTTTAAATAAGAAGAAACCTGATTTTTTTGCTGAAGTGCTGTAATGATTATATGATGATAAGTAATATTTAAAATTTTTAGCTTACAGTGTCGAATGTACAGAAAAACTGTTTCCATTGTTGCATAAATAAATACTTCTATAGCAACACAGTAATTGTAACAGAGAATAGTGACCTGTGTGTTGTAGCTGTTGAGCAGAAGCTGCACGCTGTCCTGGTCTCTGCGGACGATGCTCTCAATAATTCTCTCTATGTCTGGAACCATGCTTCAAGCCTCAGCACAAAACAGGATGAAATCAAAGCCAAATGCAAATACAACTAAAAGACGATCAGACAGGACAGAAATTTATCACCAAAAATAAGTTTCAAATAAAAAGTTTTAACTAAGTATTTTAATGAACTTTGATAATGAACTAACTTCATTCAAATATGATCTGAGATAAAGTACAATCATTAAAGCACATGTCAAATTTGACAGAACAATATCTAATAAAAAATTCAGTGCTTGTATAAATACATTTGCACGATAACCATATACTGGATTTTTTTTTTTTTTGTTGTTGTTGTATCTATTGAAGTGCTGAACGACACTGAAGTTTCCTCTTAGTTTTACAACAGTAACCCAGACATCTTTCACTCACCTGCTGGTAAAAGATAAAATAAAGAGAAGGACACACAACCACTGGCAGCTTCTTATCACCGAAGAAACCTTTGAAGCAGCTAATCTTCTTTCTCTTCTCTCTGTCCTAGCCCCACCCCTAATTTCTATAAGCTTTGGATTTACAGCACTACAACCACACAGCACACTGATGAACTGTGTCATTCTCTCTCTACTGCACACTTACACCCCACAGTTCGGTCTTCCCATGAGTGCTTGATTCGGTTGGTGTTCCCAAAAAGGTTTTCCATATCCTTTTCTCTCACTGACCTGGAGCTTTGTCAGTATTCATTTGCATATTGTGGACTGCTTAGGTTTAATGTCCTTGTGTATCATGTTTAGAGAAACAGATTACAAAATAATCCTTACTAGGACTCTATGCTGAATTGGATTTGCATCACACGATTCCTGCTTGAGATACAAAGTTCCTGAGAGGAAGATAAATAAACTGTACTCCACCCCATGCTTTCGAATGTCTGATGGATGAACTATTGTTAGAGCTCTCAACAAAGAGAAAGGCTAAATTACAGAAAAAGAAGGAACACTGCTGCCTTGTACAGCACAACTGAACAGTTGTTTTAAAGTGATGCTATCTACAGTAAACTTAAATACATCAATTCAAACGTTTGGGCAGTGCCTTTGCATTAGCTAAAATCCACTTAGCTATGATGCAAACATTCTTGAAAAGACTTCAGCTCAAGGCTATTGATTCATTGGGGCATTTGTTATTTTCAGAATTTTAATGCAGTATGTCCAATACAGCAATTGCATGTACTGAAGAGCCACTGGAAACTAGAGGATGAAGTAGCTGTACAATATTTACAAATCAGACTCTGCAAGAATATCCTCAGAGAGTTCAACTTATAGGAAAACTCAGCAGCAAACAGAAAAAAAATATGACATTAAATACTGATATTAAGGGTTTATCATCATTTTAACTCATACTTCCTTTAAGAAAGCAGTACTTCATTCTTTTTGTATTCTTCTTCATTAAGGGAATTAATCCCAATCATTCATTATCTCCTGAAGAACAAACAGAAACATCATGATTTGGTTTTAAATATATTATCGTCCTGCTTTTTTCTGATGCAGATAGAAAGAAAAGACATTCACACTGTCTTTTTAAACCTCACTTTTATCTCACTAAACCATTCGTTTTAGCTTAGCTTTGCATACGGGCCATTTGGTTTTACACCTATAAAACATTTTTCAAAAATGTGAACTGCAAACAATTCCATCTGAGAAAAGTACATTTAAAAAATGGATTTGTGTAAATTATACAAACCACATTAAATACATATTTTACTTACATACTTACATAAAAGACAGCTTGCACATATATATCCATGCTGTGTAAGTCCTGACAAAAGTCAGCTTTGTAGTTCTAATCAAATAATCTTTCATTGACTTTTGGGGAAATCCATTGCTTTCCAATAGTTCACTAGCCTTCATAAATTGGTACAATAGTTGGACACAGCAATAAAGCAAATACTTACAATGGTAACCTTCCCTTTAAAAAAAAATAGGGGCCACTCTCGTTGCATTTCTGGCATCCAGTTTCTGATTGCTTTGTTTCACACATTCTGAACACCTCCACCTACTTAATGCTGCAGGTGGATGTTTGTTTTTGGAGGCAGAGGTTGTGATCGTCCTTTAGGTCTTTGCACTAAGAGTAAGCAGTTCCATGAAAGAACTGAAGAGGCTCTCAAGCCAGCCTTGGTTCGCCATACACTGCTGCACCACCTCCTCCTGGCCAGGGTCCTCCGCTGCCTGCTCTATATTGTCTGTCTAGTCAGAAAACAACAGTTATGTTAAGTACCTACATACAGTATCATGGCTAATAATAATGTCTATACAGTGTGTGTGTTCACACTTATACATCAGTGTTGTCACTCTGTAGTTCCAAAGAAGCTACAAAGGACTGGGGAGCTTTTAAATTTATGCGGTTAGTAAGTAAGTCAAATTTATTTATATAGCACTTTTCACAGATAAAGATCACAAAGTGCGCAACAGTCAAATCAGAAATACAAATAATAATATAACACAATGATCAAATTAAATAAAAGTTTGTTTGTATAGAAATGTCTTCAGCTGCTTTTTAAGAGTCAACGGAGTCTGGACAGTGTAATGACAATGGAAGAGAGCTCCACAGGCTTGGTGCCTGAAAGCCCCGATCCCCATGTGCACGTGGGACCAACAGGAACTTCAGTAACTTTGTTAAACCAGCCATATAGGTGGTTTATGTTATATAATTTATTGTATCCCTAATATAATACACACTGGGTATTGTAGCAAAAGTGCAGCAAAATCCTTACCTCCTTCTTGCAATGCAGGAAGGTGTGATATTTGTAGTGGTGAAGAGAATGATACAGACTGTATATCCGGCAAATGTCAATCGAAAGTTTCATATCCTGAAAATGGTGATAGAAAAAGAATTGAGTTTCTTTCTACTAAAGTCTTTCATCTTAGTAATTACAGTATTATTTGAAAAAGTACAACTAATGATCAAAGCAACACAAGATTATTATTAGATATTATTATTAGACTCAATTGGCTTCTCTCAAAATGTAAAAGAACCCACCCACCACTTTAATCACACTCTAGATCTTGTTTTAACATATGGCATAGAAACTGAACATTTAACAGTGTTTCCTGAAAACCCTCTCCTGTCTGATCATTTCCTGATAACATTTACATTTACAATAATTGATTACACAGCGGTGGAGAGTAGACTTTATCACAGTAGATGTCTCTCTGAAAGCGCTGTAACTAAGTTTAAGAATATAATCCACCCACTGTTATCATCTTCAATGCCCTGTACCAACACAGAGAAGAGCAGCTACCTGAACACTACCCCAACAGAGGTCGATTATCTTGTTAATAATTTTACCTCCTCACTACGTACGACTCTGGATACTGTAGCTCCTGTGAAAACTAAGGTCTCTAATCAGAAGTACCTGACTCCCTAAAAACTCCCTGAAAAGCCTTCAGTTAATCCAAAATGCTGCAGCAAGAGTCCTGACAGGGACTAGAAAGAGAGCAGATTTCTCCTGTTTTGGCTTCCCTTCATTGGCTTCCTGTTAAATCCAGAATTCAAAATCCTGCTCCTCACATACAAGGTCTTAAATAATCAGGCCCCATCTTATCTTAATGACCTTGTAGGACCATATCACCCTATTAGAGCACTTCGCTCTCGCTCTGCAGGCCTACTTGTTGTTCCTAGAGTATTTAAAAGTAGAATGGGAGGCAGAGCCTTCAGTTTTCAGGCCCCTCTTCTGTGGAACCAGCTTCCAGTTTGGATTCAGGAGACAGACACTATCTCTACTTTCAAGATTAGGCTTCAAACTTTCCTTTTTGCTAAAGCATATAGTTAGGGCTGGACCAGGTGACCCTGAATCCTCCCTTAGTTATGCTGCAATAGACGTAGGCTGCCGGGGGATTCCCATGATGCATTGGGTTTTTCCCTTCCAGTCACCTTTCTCACTCACTATGTATTAACAGACCTCTCTGCATTGAATCATATCTGTTATTAATCTCTGTCTCTCTTCCACAGCATGTCTTTATCCTGTCTTCCTTCTCTCACCCCAACCAATCACAGCAGATGGCCCCGCCCCTCCCTGAGCCTGGTTCTGCTGGAGGTTTCTTCCTGTTAAAAGGGAGTTTTTCCTTCCCACTGTCGCCAAAGTGGTTGCTCATAGGGGGTCATATGATTGTTGGGTTTTTCTCTGTATGTATGCTTGTAGGGTCTACTGTACAATATAAAGCGCCTTGAGGCGACTATTGTTTTGATTTGGAGCTGTATAAATAAAATTGAATTGAACTGAACTGAATTAAAGAAAGTTGTACACATAGTAGGTAACCTAAGTATTTAACAAAACTGTGATGTTTCTTAACCCTTGAGGTGATGTTGTGTTTAATTCAATTCAATTCAGTTTTATTTATATTGCACCAAAGAAATAAAACTGAAGGTGAAACTCAAGGTGCTTTATAATGTAAGGTAAACAGCCCATAATACCACAGACAAAACCCCAACAATTGTATGAACTCCTGTAGACAAGCACTTTGGTGACAGTGGGAAGAAAAATCCCTTTTAGCAGAAAGAAACCTCCGGCAAAACCAGGCTCAGGGAGGGAGAGCTACCGCTACCAGCTGAGGGTGAGGGGAGGAAGACAGGACATAAGATTCATGTTTACTTTTTACAAAAAATTTAACAGTTTCTTTCATTAAAATTAAAAAAGGTCCCTCTGGTGATGGTGAAGGGTTTTATAGTTAACAAAAACTAAACCTAAACGTGTTAAACTATTTATTTAGTTAAAATAAAAATAAAACCTATAATTTTTAAAATAGATTTAAACTAACAAAAAATGTTTGTGAAAAAGTCAATAGAAATATCCTTAGTGTCTACAAAAGGTTATATGCTTTTCTTTTACTGATTGTAATTGAACTGACTGTACTGAACTGTGTGGATTTTTCTAAATCTTGCCTCTGACATATGCCCTGCACATAATAATTATTAAAAAGATTCAGACTAACTGGTGTGATGATGTACTCATGTAGTGTGCAAAAGTTTTGAGTCCATTATTTCTTTATCGTTAGGAAAATGGGAAATGCATTATATAAGGTAAAACCAGAGTTTGTACAATTCTAAAGAGCTTGACAGTCTGTAAATATTTGGTTATGACCACCTTTATTCTTCAACACAGCCTCACAACACAACTCTCTCAGGCAAGCTACCCTGTATTTATTTTAAGTCGTCTTCAGGAATGATTCTCCAGGCTTCTTGAAGGACCTTCAAAGTTCTTCTTTGGATGTTGGGTTGCGTTTTGTTCAGGTCTCTTTCAAGACCATTACACACTGCCTCAGTAATGTTGAAGTCACTGTCATGCTGAAAAATAAAGCTGTTGCCAATAAGTTGCATTCCAGATGGTAATGTATGGTGGATGAAAATCTGACTGTAGGTTTATGGTTTCATTATTTCGTCAATTTTGACAAGATCCCCCAAACCACTGGCTTAAATCCCTTTTTATACTTGAATGATCCATAGGTCAGTGTTCCACAACCAAAAAAATATTTCCTCTAAAAATGGACTAAAAATTAGTGAAAAAGCAGCCAAGGTCAAAAGAAAAACTTTGAAAAACCTTCAGAGCGATTAGACAGCTGTTGGATAACAACAGATTGCCTTTCAGCTTGTAACACCAGGCACAGGGTATTGACTACATAAATGTGCAGCGTCATAGCTTTTTCTCACCTGCTGCTTAGGAATGCTCCTCTTGATTTGGTTGAGAGTCTTGCGGTTGTAGCCCTCCCCACCAAGGTGAACTTTGACAACTCCAGATTCCACAGGATCTGCTGTCATTTTGGGGAATATATGTAAAGCCTCCTGGATGATGAAAGTAAATTGGCGTCATGAGACAAAGGTCACGTTTAGCTTAAGGCCACAAAGAATCAGATTTCTGCAAAGAAATGTTTTCAGTTAACAAAAATGTATCTGGTTTAACACTTAGACTATGGGGAATCATCTTCAACAAATCTCTAAAACAAAGTGATTTGAGAAGTGCCAAATAAAACCAAAACAGAAGAATATGAAGCTTTACCTGGTGCTGAGCACTCATGTTGACTCTCCTCAACAACTTCTTCTTCTGTTCACTGAGCATGCTATCAATTTTCCTCATGGGCGGGAGGTATAATTCATCTGATGTGTTAAAGTAGTAGAATACTCATTTACTTTTAAACCTTACATTTTAATTCATGTCAGTGCAATTTTCAAAAGACTCTTGAAATGATGCCAAGTAATTTAATTAGTAGTTTTCCATACTGGATACACTAAAAATAACAATAAACATGGAGCATGCTGTCTTTGTCTTAGCAACTTATTTGCACCATTTTATCTTTAATTATTAAAAGGTCTTAAAATACTTGAAATCATTTGCATGGGTCAGCAGTTCATCCCTATCATAACCACCAAGACCTCGGACAGTCTGAGGTCGTGGTTAAATAGAGTCATTCCATCTATTTAAGGGAAACAAAACTGAACATAATGCATACGAGATGAAGGCCTATCAAAATAAAACAGGAAGTAACTAACACTAGGACTAGGACTAAGATATACTAACTTGACATAATTAAACATGGAAACCAGATGAAAATGGAGAAAGGACAAAGGAGACCACACAGACACGGGGACATAAATGGGACATAATGGGGAGACAGAAAGGAATCACAAAACAAGATAATTTAGAATACAAAAAGAGAATAATACATCACAATGGAAAATAACAACCTACTAACATTTCCAAATAAAAAGGCTTAACACAAGAGTTCTGAAAAAAGGAGCCAAACCCCACAAAAAACTCAAAATACCCAGGACAATGACGGGTTATTGTTTGTTTTAAAGTGTAAAAGTGTAAAGTGTGCATGTTAGTCCCCATAGGGAAATAGTTCCTCTGCATTTAACCCATTCACCCAGTGAAGCAGTGGGCAGCCGCCAGTGCAGCGCCCGGGGAGCAGTGTGTAGGGACGGTACCTTGCTCAGGGGTACCTCAGGGTAGCCGTTCAGTGGAGTCGAACCCCCGACCTTCCGATCATGGGGCCACCACTCTACCTACTGAGCTATCCCTGCCCCATCTATCTTTCACTCTATCCCTCATTTCAGTTATGCACTGTAAAATATAATATTGTGTTTAATTAAAAATATCAAGTAGACTGAGCTCAATTTTTATCAATTTGTTATTAGAACTCAGTTTAAACTCCTAGGACCTGCGTCCACATATGTGGACATCACATTTTCGGTTGTCTAGACCAAAATACTACATTTTGCTCTACAAGGGCCTGATCCACTTACGAGGACATTATACTGCCACTGTTCTATCGAAATTTTAAACAAATATCCTCATGTCAATCTCATTTTTCTCAGGAACAAAAATTAGGTAAAAAAAAAAATCTGGTAATTCTTTGTTTTTACATTCATCAGGTGCCAATCAGCCCAAATAGCAAAGAAAGCATGCTGTGGAAGAGGAGGTTAAGTAAGTTACCAGTACTTTTTATTCAAAAAGCTGATAAACTAAGTTTATTTGAGTTGTCTTAAATTAGGAAAACTAAGTAAGCAGGAAATGTTGCTTCTCAGTGAGGAAGAATAAAACGATATGGTTTGAAAATGCCATGTCGTCCCTCACACAGCTCAGTCCACATGTTCATGATGCCTGCTTTTTTTCTGGAATATGTTGAGCAAACCTGAAGAAGCTTCAGCTCAAGAGATCATTGTTGTCATTGCTGTGATTCTTTACGTGATACTCTGACTTGGTGAGTAAATGTTTACTCTTATTCAAACTGTTTTTGTGGCTTCTCTCAGTTTAGCACCAGGTTTATGAACTTGCTAGCTAACTGGTGTTAGCCTAGCATTGCTGCTGCCTCTGGGCTCATGTTACTTAAAAATTAACCCCACAGCTTTAAAAATGTTATATGAAAAGCTCTCTGTGAAATTTTCTGTTGACTGTTTGAAACAGAAACGTGAGCAGCTACTTGATAAGATAGGGTGACCATATTTTTTTAATGGTGAAATTAAAAAATGTGATATAGGCTTTTACAAGTCAACAGGGGCAAAAAAATAACATAAAAACCTCTGGAATTAAATAATGGTACAGAAATAAGGCCTCATCTGTATAAGAAAGATTACCAGTACCGGGACGGTACGAGGGAAAGTTTTTTGCAGTTTGTCTGCAAAGCTGCAGTTGTGCTTTGGCATCTTTTAAACACCACTAGGCACTGCTGCATGCTGTCTCTCCCGTCTGTGAGCACAGAACAACAACTCACAAAGCAGCAGCTCAGGGATGGAGTCACACATATGGGTCCTCTGTAGGAAAAGCCGGACATTTTCATTCATCTTGAAAATCCCCCTGAATGCCCCTGACAGAACATGATCTTTTCCTGTCTTCTCTTATAGGGCTTTGGAGTTGACGTCACGCCGCAATGCATTGTGAGATTGCGGCGCCATTTTCGGGGTCTACGATC